TGGGTCTGTGTTCAAAGTCTTCTTTGGTACGATAGAACCTAAAGCATTTTTGGTTCTTAAAGCAAATTTTTGCGTAAATTATTTGGGGTTGCCCCCACAGCTTACACCACAACACTGGGGCTCAGACACAGATCAGGACCCTCCCTTGGGGCCCCATGGTTAGCAAGAGAAGGGTCTCAGAGGCAGGGTGTCCCCTGGGTTCTAACTCTTTGTACCATGGGACCCCGGGCCCAAAGGAAGTCTTTCATGGACCCTCAGCAGAGAAGCAGTTAAAGGAGAGGCCCCTCGGGGGAGGAAGGGCGGGGAAGGGGGTTCTGAGCCAGAATCCTGCTCCTTCCCCTGTCAGCAATTCCAGGAGCTTGGATGGAGAACAGCAGGCCTGACCCAGCCTTCAGCCCCGTTCTATAGAGGGAAGCGGAGGTCAGAGGCTGGGACCTCGTTGGGCCACATGAGGAGTCCTGGCCGGGCTTCCTGGCCTGCAGGCTGGCTGTGCATTCTGCACTTGTGCCGCCAGCCCCGTATGTGGGGGTGGGGCCACCACCATTTGGACAAACTATGCAATTCCAACTGCCCACATTCAGAAGCATTTTAATAAAAAGGCGGTTTGTGGGGTTTTTTCCCCCCATAACAGAATTTTAGTTGGATGGCACTTCTTTCGGTTGATCTGCTCACAACATGGGGGCCTGCCCTGCCCTCTCACTAGCTCTCGGATGCCAGTGGATCTGTAAGGATCCTCGCTTTTAACTCAATGTCCACCTCGGCCAAGTTTAGCTTTTCTGAGAGCAAAGACTCTCTTAGGATGTTCAGATTGTTGTCATCTTTGGTTCTGGCCTCAGTCAAGACTTCTGGAGTTGGTTTTTCCCGTGGCAGCTTCTTCTGCTTTCTGGGGGGAAAGAAAACACTGTTGAGTGGGCGTTCCCTGAGCCAGCGGTACTGAGTGGCTGGGGGAGGCCTGGGCGTTCCCTGAGCGGGGGGGTACTGAGTGGCTGGGGGAGGCCTGGGCGTCCCCTGAGCTGGGAGTACTGAGTGGCCGGGGGAGGCCTGGGCATTCCCTGAGCCGGGGGTACTGAGTGGCTGGGGGAGGCCTGGGCGTCCCCGGAGCTGGGAGTACTGAGTGGCCGGGGGAGGCCTGGGCCTTCCCTGAGCCGGGGGTACTGAGTGGCTGGGGGAGGCCTGGGCGTCCCCGGAGCTGGGAGTACTGAGTGGCCGGGGGAGGCCTGGGCCTTCCCTGAGCCGGGGGTACTGAGTGGCTGGGGGAGGCCTGGGCGTCCCCGGAGCTGGGAGTACTGAGTGGCCGGGGGAGGCCTGGGCCTTCCCTGAGCCGGGGGTACTGAGTGGCTGGGGGAGGCCTGGGCGTCCCCTGAGCTGGGGGTACTGAGTGGCTGGGGGAGGCCTGGGCGTCCCCTGAGCCGGGGGTACTGAGTGGCCGGGGGAGGCGTGGGCGTCCCCTGAGCCGGGGATACTGGGTGGCTGGGGGAGGCCTGGGCGTCCCCTGAGCCGGGGGTACCGAGTCGCTGGGGGAGGCCTGGGTTTCTCAGATGCGTTGGAGCGTTGGAGGGGAAGACCCAGGAGGCTGTCCTGGGAACTGTTGGGGGAGATGGTTTTGATGTTCTTTCAGCCGAGAAACAGACTTGCCCGTGCCTCTCACCAAATCCTCACTGCCACCTGTGAGCTCACCTATGAACGCTCCTCCTACAGAGGAAATGTGGCTCAAAGAAGCACATTCCTGGGACATGCATTTAAGTCTCCTGTTTTCACCAAATCATATTTTTTTCCAATCCCAGAACTGTCATCTCACTTAGTGCAGGTCCTTGTCACCCCACACCACATCCCCAGGCAAACTGCAGGGCATTACTAAATAATCTTCCGGCCTCTCGGTGCTTATGTCTCCAAACCAACCTAAACACACCAGTCATGTCTCTAAAGCCCCGGTGTGCACACGTCACTCCCCAGCTCAAGCACCTTCAATGGCTCCCCATTGCCCACCTCCTTAATCCGGCATCCAGCCTTCCTTCCTTTCAACAACTCCCCCAAATATCCTCCCTCTGAGGTGGTTTTACTTAAGGTACACTTCCTGGCCATGCGGGAGGGTCCCAGCTGTGGTTAGAGCTGACTGCCCAGAGACTCTGCTTGGGCCCTGGGGTGGGGGTGCAGCTCAGTGTCTGCCGCTCCCTTGGACAGACACCGTGGCTCCGAGTTGACCTTGCTGAGGGGGATGCTTCCCAACAGGATGAGAGAGGCAGAGTCCCTTAGAGGCGAGACCCCTCTGGGCCCTTCATGCAGAATGATCTTGCTAAAACATGAACCTTTCATGTCCCTGTGCAAAGCCCTTCTCATGAGCTAGAAGCTGAAGCCTTTAGGATGGCCCTCAGGGTGTGTACACTCTGGGTCCTGGCGCCTCTTGTCCTCCCTCTCCCCCCTCTGCAGCCTTCCTCACACCCCACACGACAGCCACACAGGCCCTCCTTCCCACCTGGAGCTTGGTGCATGCTGCCCCTTGGTCTGGAGGCTTCGGCAGCCCGCCTACCATCTCTTTGCCCTGAAGGCCCCAGATCCCAGCTCTGTGCTCCCACAATACTCTGTATGTCCCACAGTCATCATCTGTCACTTTGAATTACCGTCATCTCCTCACCAATCTGTAGATTCCATAAGGCCAAGGCTGAACTATCTTGGCCGCTAGTGTGGCCTCCGCTCTCAGGATAGAGCTTAGCACAGAGCAAGCGCTCAGCCCATTTCTGTGGGGTGAATGATGAATGGGGCCACAGCAGTTCACAATGACTAGTTCTCAGTGTGAACTATGGGGTTATTTCTTTTTGACTTGGTAGCAAACAGTGAGGAAGATTCGTAGATGATGTGAAATATGGCAAAGAAGGAAGAGCAGGGAAGTTAGGCCAACCTTCCATGCATCCTTAATGACCTTTTTCTGTACAACGAGAATTAATAACTTGTGCCTGTCCCGCCTGACAGAGCTATCTTAAGGATCAAATAAGAGAATGTGAAGGTGCTTTTAAAATTACAAAACATGATACAGATTTGAAGGAGAGAGTCTCATTACTGTTTCAAAGTTACTGATGTGATAGTTGATGGATATATAGCAATTGTTGAATGCGTGAATGAATTAGTGGGGATGAGTGAGCTAAGCATTTATTGAGTGATTTCCAGGTCCACACATTGAGCCAATTGCTTGCGGCAGTGGTCAGCAAACTGTGGCTCGGCAAACCGCGGCTCGCGAGGCACCTACGGCTCTTTGGCCCCTTGAGTGCGGCTCTTCCACAAAATACCGACTTCTGGGCATGGGCCACAAAGTTTCAATTGCACTGTATGTGCGCACCCACACGTGGTATTTTGTGCAAGAGCCACACTCAAGGGGCCAAAGAGCCGCATGTAGCTCACGAGCCATGGTTTGCCGACCACGGGCTTGGGGGAAACACGTTGTATCAAATGTGGTCCCTGCCCTCAAGGATCTCAAACATTAGCCCTGGAGCCATCCAGAGACTTTAACCACATGCCACTGTCCCAGCCTCACCTCAGCCCCTACGTGTCTCCAAAGGAGGCCCAGCATTCTGAATTTTTAATATTCCGGTGATTTTGGGTGCATCCAGGATTGAGGAGTATTGTCATTATAAAAACTACCCCAGGAGCCTCAACTGATATCAGGGCTCTATCGGAACCCTGCTTTGGGCCTTGGAGCAGGGCAGGACTTTCCCCTTTAACAGCATCCCTTCCTCTGCAGTAGCCCCCACTGAGCACTCCCCACAGAGAATTGGTTGCTACCACCATTTATAGAGATAACTGGTTCAGAAGTATTGAGTGTGCTGCCCTGCTAGTGAGTGACAGGGCTGGGACTTGAACCCAGGCCCCTGTGACTCCAGAGCCAGAGATCCTGACCTCTGAGACATACCAGCCCTTGCCCTGTTCCCTAGCCAGGGCCAGCAGGCGATAACTGGGGACAGTTGCTAGTTTTCCAAAAATTCTGGGTTCTCAAAAGACCCTAAAGGCTGCATTTTACTATCCCAACAGGTGGACAGCCAAGGCCCATAGACACCCTTCCCTAGGTTTCCCTGGGGAGGGCAGGGCCCCCACTTTCCAGAGGCCACCCCGGCCATCTCCTTACCTGTTCTCCTTGATGCTCCTTCCCAGGAGGACCATGCTTATCACGACCACCACACCCATCAGGGCAAAGATGGAAATATTCCAAGGAGATGCTGGAGAGGGACACAGAGGGCAGAGACTTGAGCAGAAGCTGGTGCCCCTCAGGGCCCCTGACACCTGGGGTTTGGGCTCAGACACAGCTCCCAGCATCCATTGTCCCCTGCTGTGGATCAGGTGTTGTAGGTGAAGATGAGCCCCCCACCCTGCAGGAACTCCAGTGTGGGGGGGTTACTTACAGGGCAATACCCATACGACTGTCAGCTGATTTCTC